TATATATATATATGTGTGTGTGTGTGTGTGTGTGTGTGTGTGTGTGTATAAAGCATATATTTACTCTAAATACATATCATTATGTACAAATTATTTGTAGTTGAAAGCATAAAATTATGTACAAAATAATTAAATTTTGGCATTAAATAACCCATATATGCCTCTAAACGAAATCAACCAGCTAAAAATACATGTTTATAGTAAAATGACCAACAATACCTATTTATAGTAAAATGACCAACAATACATTTTACCTGTAGATGAAGGCATACAATTACATTCAAAATATGTTTAGTTGAACCCATAAAATTGTGTTCAAATTATGTAGATTTCGGTATTAAATAACCCATAGAAGTTATGATACTAAACTAAATCGACCAATAAAACGAGCTTCGACTGATGTTATAACTCTGATACATGAGTAAAATTTCAGGAACTATAATATGTAATTGTCTCCAGGTAGTCATCGGTCTTCTCTTCTATACAGCATTTAAAATATAGTGCGAAAAGTCAACTTTTACACAAATACTGTACACTTTATTTCTTGACGACTCAAAAATTTAGGTGTGTCAAAATTTGAATTTAAATTTAATTCTCTGTGATTAAATGGTGAGAGTCTCTGAATCTTTAACGTTTTGATGCCAACCGTAAATCGGTGATTGTTGTATTTTTCCTTTTCTTCTGTTTTAATATATAAGATTGATTCCACTAATAAAACGGTTATTTTGTCAGAAGTTCCGTTTCGGAACTAAACTCATCACTATAACTTTCCCTTTTGTCTTTTACTTATTATTATTCTAACACACACACACACACACACACACACACACACACACACACATATATATATATATATATATATATATTTATTTGAAATGTTCGAGAGAGAGAAGAAATAGATTTATACCATTCCCAAGTCTATTTGTGTGAAAGAAAATTGAACGAACTCAGCCGGAAACTGAACTCGCTTGCCAGTTTCTCTACCCGAGCCTACGTTAAGCGTTACACTAGCCGGGGCATTACACACACACACACACACACACACACACACACACACACACACACACACACACACACACACACACACACACATATATATATATATATATATATATGGTGCGGCAGAAATACTCCCATATTATGTTAAGACGTTAACTAGATGAAGGAGCCCATTGCTACTAATGTCTTATCACGTGTGAGATATGGGAAGGTACCCTGTATATAGGAAACATGAAACAGCCTGTCGCCTCTAAGTGTTGACTTCAGTGTTTACTGATATATATATATATATATATATATATATATATATATATATATATATATATGAATTGGGATTAAATACAGGCCAAATATGGATTGGAATCGGGCAAAATTATAGGATAAAAACAAATTACCAATGAACTGATTTCATAAAGCATTGCTTCAGTTCTCAAGCATCGTTATGGAATGAGTTCGTGACTATTTGAAAGAGGAGTTTTGAATGGCTGCTACAGGGGTGTTGTAATCGCATCGTCGTATCTCCGGCAACGTTCAATTGTTTTTTTTTTTTTATCTTCGGGATGGCGAGTCCTCAGCAAAAGGCGTTCTGCGTTCTCGAGTTCGTGAAAACAAATAACGGTTGTCACAGTGCAGCGTGCTTTTCGAAGGCAAATCGACATTAATCCGCCTTCTCCTAAAAACATTCGACTGTGGTTTAAACACTTTCAAGATAGTGGGTGTCTGTGTAAAGGAAAATGTCTAGGACGACCACGAGTTTCGGAGGAACAACAAGTTGCAAGAATCCGTGTTGTGTTTGAGGGGAGTCAACGGAAGTGCACAAATCATGCTAGCAGTGAGCTTGCAATCTCTCAACTCAATATCAATAGTGTGCTAAGAAGACGTCTACATTTGAAACCTTACAGACTACGCCTCGTTCAGGCCCTTACCAAAACCTTGCTCTTTCTGTTTGGCTTGCGAGATCCCCAGACATCACCGTGTGATTTTTTTCTTGTGGGGATACGTAAAAGATCGCGGTTATGTTCCACCGCTACCCCCTAAAATCGATGACCTTAAACATCGAATAACAACAGCAATCAACTCGATGGGTCGTGATATACTGATACGCCTCTAGGAGGAATTCTCTTATCGCATTAATGTTGCCTGTTCTGCAGGTGTGTGTGTGTGTGTGTCTATATGTATATATTCAGCAAGTTCATTTATTCTTTGCAAACAATTAAGTACAAAACATGCTTTTATAACATCTTTTCGATCCCGATAAGTTTTAAAGGACACATATATCGACAAATTAAACTGGTGACATCGTGGGAGACTTGATATAGTCAATATGTTGGGTTTAAAACTAGTTTTCTTTCTAACGCTTTTTCCATTCCCCCTGATCGATCTTTACAGGTCCGATGACTTAGCAAAGGCAATTGGAATAAACTATAATTCTCTGCAGGACAATCAATAAAAAATACATATACAAGAGATATTAAAACTTATCCAACTTCAAACCTGCAGCACAAGTTTAGGAAACATTTGAATATATTCATTACATAGAAAGGCGGGACTCGTGTCCACCTTAAAAAAACGTTTGGAAGATAGCCGACTATGGACTTGCATTCAGATTGGTTAGTTCTTTTGCCATTAGTTGATCGTTGGTATTGCATGTATAAAACTACGATAGAAATTAAGTATTCTGATCAGTGACACCAGTTATAGTATAATGATACGATCATGTAGCGACAATTAACTGTATGAAATCATAATCCTCAGTCCCATCATCTCGTGTATATGAATAAAGTAGAAAATGACAACGTGACGGGTTAAAACCTTAAAAGAACAATCGCTAATTTCCACAGACATTTTAGAAGGCTCGATATCCATATCTGCCGTGACATTTCAAGTCTGAAAAATTTTCAAAAACGTTCTATTCTTTAGTTCCATCAGTTCAGACTTTTACAGCCAGGAGACGCCACCCAATTTCCATGGAGTCGAATCATTCTCAGTCATTGTATGTTCCAAATTTAAGAAGAAATTCCTCTCGAAACAGCTTTTCCCCAGAGAACTTCCATTTTGACTACTTCTCTGGACAAGTCAAAAGTCAATTATATATCCACCTTATCCTCAGATTCTCTACTATCGGGCAATTTTTCTTTCATTCATATCATATACCTCATCATCAACATCATTTTAACTGTATTCCTCTCAGTTGAACGGCTTTTGAGCACTGTACTGGATGAAATTTATTAAACGTAGACAACAAAAACTGTTATATGTGTTACTGAAATGCTTTTATTGTGAACTAAAACTAAGAATAAAATGAGACCTCATGACGCCCTTATCTTGGTTGTTAAAATCATTTTGGTTTCATGTCAGCCATCTTCAACGGCCATCATACATATTTCGCACTTGTAGGAGAGTTATAACATTAAGTAATTATAAAGACCCTAACATTTATATATACAAAAATACTCATCGGAAATGAAAAACAGCAAGATGTAGGAACAACAAAACAAGTATTATTATTTATTATCTGGTTGTTATGTGATGTTGGAGATACGAGAGACAGTAATACAGAGTAAAATTGAGTTGGGATCAAATGTAGATCAAATATGGATCAGAATCCGACAAAATGATAAAATAAAGAATCAGTAAAGTGTATACAGCTTTTCTCATGTTTTTTTCACACATTTATGTAATGAGTGTCCAGATAAATTAATTGGAAAATAAAAGGAGTGTTTGAAGTTTTCCCACCTCAAATTTTGTTGAGTTTTAAGAGTTTCACCATTGTGCCTGTCTGATCGTGGGGATGTCACGTGTTTGTGTGTGTAGAAGTGAAAAGTGGCATTGATACTCATTGGTTTAGAATGAGTGAATTAATGATAATTATGATTGGTATAATTATCATATTATAATTATTTTTGACACTATAATTCATTTTTATTTATGTATTTATTATGGACACGGCATCATGAAAAAGTTATATATTATGTAGTGTGTCTTGTTGTGGGGGGCAAAAAGTACTGAATCGGTCCATTAAAAACCTTTTGCATATACATATTACGATTCTAATGGTTTACGGAACTTCTGATATGTAGTAACTCATTTGTAACTCATTTCATGCAGATTGCTCAATGTGCAGATTAGCCGCTTTATATATATATATCGATCATCGTGTCTTAGATAAAAGTTCAAAAGACTTGTTTTCCAAATTTACGTTTCACAGTTGTACCACTCGTCGACGAATGTTGCTACTTAACATAAATAATATAATGCTAAACATAAGCGCTAAACTCTTAATTTCCAGCAATTTATTGGTATATATATATATATATATATATATATATATATATATATATATATATATATATATATAGAGAGAGAGAGAGAGAGAGAGATGAGAAAGAGAGAGAAATGAAAAAATCGCCTGAGGATACCGTAGAGTTGAAACCAAGGTAGTGGATTCAACTGGCTTCCTGACTTTTCATATATATATATATATATATATATATATATATATATATATATATATATATATATATATATATATATATATAAACTCTTTATCTCTCTCCCCATATATATATATATATATATATATATATATATATATATATATATATATATATATATATATATATGAGGCCTCATGGGGCGGGCGGTTAAAAATTCAGGGTTTTTTGAAGCTTTTTTACATCAAGCTTCGTTGACCGACTTTTTTGCATGCAGAAGAATTTTCTTCGTTCTCTATGTTTTATAGATTGGTCGTGGTAATTCTTTTCTGTTTTATACTTACTATAAGCTCATTTAGAATTGTTTGTTTGTTTTCAGTAATAAATTTAATTTAGTTGTTGCTCCTTATGTATACACCGCCATGTTTACCTTTTGCACTTTGGCCGTTATAATTATTGTTGTTCCAGTGAATCTCTCTGAAGAAGAACTGAACGAAAAAATGTCCCTTTAAAAGAATGCGTTCCGACATTTTCAAAGCCATATATAAAGTCTGTGATACAACATTTATGTTTAATTATCTATCTATCTATCTATCTATCTATCTATCTATCTATCTATCTATCTCTCTCTCTCTCTCTCTATATATATATATATATATATATATATATGTAATGAGAGAGAGAGAAATTTTTCCAAATATAATACCAAGAAGTTCTTCCAAATACAATATCTGAAGTTTTGTAAATTGTACAGATTTTGGGAAGTGTTCACGCCCAAGACTTTTTCAACAGACTTTTGTACATATACACAATCATGTGATTGTGTGTGGACGTGTGAATGTGCGCTTGTAATTGTGCCTGTGTAAGATTTTTAATTTTGTATACGTATCTATTTATATGAGTGTGTGTGTGTGAGCTTACATCTTTGAACCTGTGTGTTTCTTTATTACTTGTCAGTCTTTAGGCTATGCTACATTTTATGAAGACGTAAAAGTGTGGTTTCAAATCCACCCATGGTTATTATTCGCTAGAAGGGCACCTGCATCTAATTTCCTCTCTCATCAGACGCAGCCGTTGGCATATCAATGGACACTGAGATAAAAAGTAATTGATTTTAACGGGACTGAATGGCACACCGTGAATTATCTATTCGTCTGTGTCTAAGTACTAGCCGGGATGTTTTTCTTTCTTTTTTTTTTTTTAGTAAATTTAGACTCAGAAATAAAAGGCGATGTATAGGGGTAAAGACAACATCGAGCGATCAACCCCTAAAGTACGAAAGAAAAACGCATTTTCATATGTGGACCTACAATGATTGAAATGTAGAAAGTAGTTTTCTCGTATTGAAACGAGTGGAAGGTTATCTAAGATTTATGGCTCAAGAAATGATGAATGCTGGGATATTACTAATGAATGCTGATATTGATCTTTAAAATATTTCATGATATTGATCTTTAAAATATTTAATATTTTTACTGCAACTCTGCTGCTCACTAGCATATTGTAAACGTGATACGATCTTTTGTAGACTGGTAAGTATAATCCAACGGGAACACATAGCGTTTTGAATCTGTTGCTCGATAATCCACAGGGAGAACGAGAGGGATAACATAACATAATGCCAGTTGGATTAATCCTAATTGACCACACTAGATAACACGCCCTGTACCAAACATGTTTTAAAGAATTATTGCTACCGAAATACACACACACACACACACATATATATATATATATATATATATATATATATATATATATATATATATGTAGTGGGCTATTTATATTCAGTTCAGGAAGACCAAGCATCGTATCTGAGCGAACGAAAAGGGCGCTGAAGAGGAAAGTCATCAGAAAACATCGTCAGAGCATCAAAGATGTCGCCAACAATATGGGAATGTGGCCATATGCGGTGAGAAAGACTGTGAAAGAGCTAGGCTATCAAAAAAGAGTTGCAAGAAAGAAGCCCTTGATTTCAGAGGTTAACAGGTACAAGCATATGGACTGGGCGAGAGAATTCGAGAGCAAAGATTATGAATTTTGGCAGTCTGTAATTTGGTCAGTGGAAAGTAAATTCTGTCAATATCCAAATTCGAGACAGAATGAGATTTGGAACACTGAATGACTTCAAGCGACCGTGAAACTTGGAGGGATTGGAGTAATGGTGTGTGGTGCGGTCTGGTAATCTGAGGGAAATATGAACTGATTCTTGTTGATGAGCGGTTAAATGGTCCAAAATACTGTAAAATATTAGGGAAATGACTACATTCACTATTTGAAACCAATCAGATTGACAAGAATGTCTACCTTTTTCAAGAACATGGAGTGCTATGTCACACGAGAAAAGTAGTAAAGGCCTGGAAGGAATCACAAGGAATGTGCCATGAGTATCCCAAAGTCCTGACATGAATCCGATAGAGCACGTTTGGGAGCACCTTGACCGAAAACTTCGAGAGCGTGCAAGCAAATTCCAGTCAGTGGCAACCCTGAAAGAAACATTGCTAAAGGAGTGGCAATATATGGATCTGACGATTGTTGATAACTTGATCAAATCCATGAAAAATCGAATACAATAACTGAAACTAGCAAATGGAGGATCTACTCCATACTAGTTCCAAATACTTTTATTTATGTTAAGTTGGGATTACGTAATTAAATTTTGAAATTCGATGTAGTTTATTTCTCCTGCCTAAAATCTTTTCTTAGTCCACTCTACATATGTATGTAGATTTAATATGCCGCTTAAATGCAATTTGGGGAATAAAAAGCAGACAAAGTGATAATATTGGTAACAAGAATGATGATATTTATTGTATATTAATTGAACTTTTGATTAATTGAAGTACGAAGAGAAAGATTTTAAAGTCAGAATTTTCGGACACGCATGTGTCCTTTTTCAACAAGACAAGGAGTAAACAAAAAGTGTAAAAATTTCAGTTAGTGTATATCCTGTAAAAGGACAATATGAATAATGGCTGCTTGAATATATATATATATATATATATATATATATATATATATATATATATATATATATACACTACTGTATCTGAGTAAGCCTGTCTGTTGGGGAGACTAACTAATCTTTGTTGCAGATTCCAGTTCTTTGGGGTGTGCATGATGCGTGTAAGTGTAGATATTAGTATGAGTGTGTGTATAAGTGGGAGATCTCTGTCTTGTGTGGGTGAGAAAGGTGGGTAAGGCTTGATTCATAGGGGTCATCTATTAATTCTATCTATGTTGTTAAATTTGTGGTTAAGCCCGTCTGGACGAATTGTTTTGAGGTGCAAAATCCATTTGTCTTTGTGTTCCTCTAGTATTTTTCTAAGGTTATATTTTCTGTCTATTTCTATTTTTTTCAATTATAGTGAAATTGGCATGGCTTTTAAAATCATGTTTTTCTAGGCGGAAATGTTGTTCTACAGGTAATAATATTTCGTGGAGAGCCGACTTGATCCGATTACAATAATTATTAATTCTGTAGTGAAAAGGTCATGCATATATATATATATATATATATATATATATATATATATATATATGATAAAATATAGTTTTAAGGTATGCTATATTTATGAGTTAAAATGGTCAGTATCAGGGATAGAGCGCATGTAAATATAAAAGTGATTTAACAATTGCGTTTAGCATGAAACAGATTGTTACCTCTGGGTGTTGACTTCAATGACCACTTGTTAGTAGCAGGATTTATATATAAAAAAAACTATGAACATCACATTGGTATGCTGTGTAAAAACACTTTGAACCCAATGGTAATCCCCTCGTAACATATCTGGCCACAATTTAAAATGTCAGCATGGTCAGGTGAGTAAAGGATTCATTAAGAAAATACAGTGAAAGTGTGCTGATTTCACAATTTTTGACCAAGCTCATACATAATATCACCAATCCTCGCAAAATCAGTTTCAGCACAATGCGGTATACTAGCTAATATAGAGGATAAACCCAAAAGGTGCGAAATAAAACATTTTTTTAAAAATTTCCCTTGAAGTGAATCGGAGAGAACAGTGAAATGTTGGGCGAAATACGGGAAACGGGTCCATTAATAGCTGAACAGCTTTATCAATGTGTTCAATTTATATGAATATTTTGGCAGTACCTGTTATTTAACCTTTTTTAAAATTTTGCTTTGTATATATATATATATATATCTTATTGCAGAAAGTCAAGCGATGCATATATGCAACCAAAAATTGATAACAAAAGAGATGGGGCGCATTTTCTTTGAAATTATTCGTATAAATCTTTCGTGTACGTCTATACTATATACTTTGATTTATGCATGTACACATAGATACCAATACGTGTGTTAATATAAACATGTGCATATTTCTAATCCTTCTCACACTCTACATACATACATACATACATACATACATATATATATATATATATATATATATATATATATATATATATATATGTGTGTTTGAAGTTAGCTATGTATATATATATATGTATGTATATATATATGTATGGATATATATGCATGAATATATATATATATATATATATATGTATGAATGTACATATATCTATATATATGAAAATGTATGTATATATATATATGTATGTATATATCTGTATGAATATATATATATATATATATATATATATATATATATATATATATACGTATGTATATATATATGTATGAATGTACATATATCTATATATATATATATATGTATGTATATATATATATGTATGTATATATATGTATGTATGTGTGTATATGTATGCATGTATAAACGTATATATATATATATATATATGTGTGTGTGTGTGTGTGTGTTTGTATGTGGAATTGGGTAGACGGAACACTTGGGGGCCATCAATAGTTGAGACCGAGGGTTTGTGTGTGCTGGCCTTGTTCAGATTGTTGATCAAGCAAGATAACATGCTCTCTCCCAGAAACTGTAACTAAGGTCTGCTCGCTAAGGTCTGCTCGGCATAGTAGCAGTCTAAACCACAAGTGGGCCTGAGCGAGCGTCTGCAATAAGGATTGCTTAGCCGCAGTGGTAGACGGGTATCCTCGAATACGAGTGTCCAGCTATTATATATATATATATATATATATATATATATATATATATATATGTAGATATGTCTCTCTATATATGTAGATATATATATACATATATATATATATATATATATATATATCTATTTATATGTAGATATATATATATATATATATATATATATATATATATATATATATATATATATATGTAGATATGTCTATTTATATTTAGATATATATATATATATATATATATATATATATATATATGTAGATATGTATTTAGATATGTATATCACAGTAATAGTATGTAGATATGTATATATATATGTATATATATATATATATATATATATATATATGTATGTATGCATATATGTGTATGTATGTATATATGTGTACATATATGTATTTATGTATATACATAGATGTATGTATGTATATATATATATATATATATATGTATGTGTATATATATATATATGAATGTATATATATATATATATATATATATATATATATATATATATATATATATACGTATGTATGCACGTAGGTATGTATGTAGGTAGGTATATATGTATTTATATAGTCAGATAAGGAGAAAGATTTTCAACTAAGGTCAGGAATTTCCTAATGAAATCTCCTATCTGTAATCATTCATGGTAGGTAAAATGTTTTTTTTAAAAAACGAATCAATTATAAATTGTTCAACATTCACAATTCGAAAATCAATAAAAATCGATTAGCGACCCGGAATCTCGTCAAACCCGAAATGACTACAGACTTTAATGCTTCAGTTATTTCTGGAATTTATCAAAAAAATACATAATCTGACCTATTTAGAATGTTTCAGATCAGATCATCTCGATCACTCCCAACCCCGAGAGCAATTTTCCCAGCATCTTTGGAAACATGTCTGCTATTTTGGTAATTCGCATCAAAATATTTCTGGGTCTTTTGCGGATTGGCGGCACCCAACACCTTCCCTGTTCCTAGGAACAGTCTGAAAAGCTTGAATGACTCTGAATAAGCAACATTTTTAGTTGATGCTGAAAGTAAAAGATACTAAGATATTTGCTAAAATTGTAAGAAGATAACACTCGGCTTGCCGTATATAATCGTGTATAAGTCGATCCCATGCATAGTGTGACACCTGAACTTTTCGCATCAATTTTAACCCCGCCAGAAAAAAAAAATCAACCTATGTATACCGGTCCCTGAAAATGCATAGTTTTTTAACCTCTTTAACAACATTATCTGTGTATGGTATTTATGTATTTATGTTATATTTATTATGACGCATTCTTTTTAGTTGTTATTAACAACTTCAGGAGTAAAATTATTTTCTCGTTTTGTAAACCGTTAATTTTCTTTCGTTTAAAGAACAACTCTTGTTGAGATTCTCCAACAACATAGATATCATCCGCTTTGTAAATCGTTTTATTATTATTATTATTATTATTATTATTATTATTATTGTTGTTGTTGTTGTTGTTGTTGCTGTTTTTCTACAACAGGTAACTCAGGGGTAAAATTAGATAATTTAAATTTTGATAATTTTAATTTCGATAATTTTAATCGAATCTTAATCGTTTAATGGTGTGAAAAATGTTGCCCATGGGTAAAAATCTCGTCGAATCTTGCTTTACAGGGTACTTCTATGGTTATTTTTCTTTTAATTATATACAAAAATTAACTCTTTCAGATTGTAGAACTAAAGAAAAAATGGAAATAAGCCAAATGTTAAATTTAATATTTTTTTTATTACTACGATACTCCTGGAAGCATTTTATGCGCAACTGAGTAGCTTGTTCTTTGCAACATGTTATCATTATTATTATTATTATTCACTTCTTTTCTCTCCAAGACGAATATAGGCAGACATAGCACTGTATCCAGATAATTCTTTCAGTTTTATTTGCAGGCAAATGCATCAGGAAATGATGTAACCTTACGAATCCTATTAAAATATAGCCTTATGGATCCTAAAGTTACCAAATAGTCATTTAAACTCGATTAATGAATGAATGATGTCCGTATCGTTGCAAATTTTAATGATATCTGCTTGTCTCAGGTGAAACATCAATGGATAATGCCCGCCTTTGAAGGGTTAAATAACCATATTTTTATCTGCTTATTTTAAATTTTTAGTAATATTTGTTTATTAGAAAAATTATGGATTTATAAGTAAATAGTTAATACCAAACTGGAATGACTTTTGACCAATTTTATATCCTCTCTTTTCAGTAGTTCTGCTTCAATTTGGCAAGACAGATTAAGTAAGGTTAAAATTCTAAAGCAAATTTGCAAAACTGTCAGTATGATGGCATAAATCCAAATAATACTTTCTTTGATCAGTTTGCGTTAACGAACGTCACCAAGTCGGGTTTGGTATGGAAATTCAATAGCTTCTTCTGCGATTCAAGTTAAACACAAATATTTCAGCTTTTCATGTGTAAGATTCTTGAATTTTATCTTGATTATGTCATTATTTTCTCTTCGGGTTACATATTTAGTTGTTGCTTTTATTGAAAGTGTTCAAACGATTTGGTTTCTATTATATAGTACAGTTCTTTGCGATTATCTAGCGCCAGTCCACGAGGTTCGAAGAAGAACAGTCCTCTCCTAAACTGAGGGAATTTATTTTTAAAGCGATAATATAAAAGTCTCCATTTAGGGACGATTAAAGTCAATGCGTAATCTTGATAACAAAACCATCATCTTTATTGATTTACGTAATTGAAATAAAACGGATCAGTTTCTATCGTTCAAAGTTGTCTTCAGTTTGTTGGTCGATTCTCGCTGTTACACAAAATTACACATACATATCTATGTCGTGATCAAAAAGTCTAGAGCGCTTTTGTTTGCAGTACAAAAACTAAACTTGGATAGCCAGATGATTAAAAAAGAATTGGAGGACTTACCAGAATGTATTATGATAACAATGACATTGTGATAATGGCAGAAGAAAAACAGAAAGAACAAACAAGGTAGTCGTTGCTCTCCCTTTCGCACAGTTACCTTTGGGGGAAGTATGGCTCCAACATTACTTTCCCCTACTCGAGACTAATTGACTTATTGCAGGCCATGTCTAATTCTCTGGCCTTTGTTGGCAACCAGTCTATGAGAAGGACATTTCTGAATTCAAAACCGTTAGAACGTGAGGCTAGCAACTTAAACCCGTAAAATCCTACTCGCTACAGAAACAACAGCAGCTACACAGCATGGCTGAGGCTACGACCCTATTCTCCATAGGGGACTAATAGAGTTAGGGAGGAGAAAGTGCTATCGAAGAAAGGAAAGAATGGTCGTTAGAGGAAATAATTCATGGTAATGAGCAAAAGGGCAGCCCAATACGGGAGTTACACATTGGGGACGTCAGAATTAAAATAGATACAGTAATTCAACCGACAGTGTAGTATCTTTGAACGATTAATTTGTGAGGTGTGTGTTAATGTTCGAAGTGTTATTTCTGCAATGAGAATCTGAGTACACAGTTAAAATAAGGTTTTAACTGAAAACATTTTCAATATATTAGGCCATTACAGTGCTAGTTCCTAATGAGCTAATTCACACCATGGAATATATTATTCCGTGGACAATCCTTCGTCTTCCAGATTGTTATAATTGCTATTCGACGGACGAAACCAAAGTCGATTTGTAGTGAGCTTGCCGAGTATCGAACTCATTTTTAGTGGTTTACAAAACGAGAACATAATTTTACTCCTGAAATAGTTATCTGTTTGCATTCTAAGGCGGAAGTTTTGTCATAAACAGTTATTAATATTATACACCTCTTTACTCAGACCATCTTAGTTTATTGTACCCAAAAGGTTTTGCCATTGTACTCTCCGACGTTCATCAAGTATCTTTTGTTGTACCCCGTAATGTCAGAATTTTAAACTTAACTCTTTATGGGGGGGGGGTAGGTCGTATTCCAAGCTTAAGGGAAGTGTTATGTCTTTTTTTTATGCGCGGTTTCCTTTCAGTACGTAGGCGATCATGGCTCTCCACCTCCTTCTATCCCTTGCAGGTCTCAACAAGTTTCTTTCCCTCTGCTTCCCCACCCCTCAGACCACGTTCTGTCATCTATTTGCTTAAGCCCGCCAGGTATGTCACGCATTGCTTTCCCTAGTCTCTCTTTCCCTCTATTCGACCCGTGAGTATCAGATTCTCCAGGACCTCCTTCCTCATTATGTGTCCCAGAAACTTGAGCTGCATCTTCCTGATATTAAGTATAAGCCTCCTCCTTGTTTGCAACCTCTCTATACCCCATCGTTGCTCGCTCCATGATATCCTTAGCATCCTTCTGTAGAACCACATTTCTGTCGCTTCTTTATCTTTGAGGAAATCGTCCAACATTCGCTGATGTAAAGAAGGACAGATGTCACGTAACAGCTCCGTATTCTTTTTTTTTTTTTTTTTTGTTACCAAAGAAATCCTCCCGTCTCTCAATACTCTGCTTAGCTCCTGGAATGTGTCCTTGGCTATCCCAATACTGCAGATCTCAGTGTCGGACTTACCGTCCTCTGTCAAGATGCTTTCAAGATATTTAAACTTCCGTGTATTGCAAGTGGGGGTAATATACTATCGAAGTCATCCACCATTACTAGTAGTTTACCTATTTTACGACGCTGGCGAGTATTGTATTTTGTTCATGTAAAGATTACCATTTGATTTTCAACCTTCGTTTTGGTTATTCCTCCTTTCAGTAACCTTTTCTAGGTTACAACTGTAAGTAACTAGTGTATCAATTAGTTTTCGTTAGTCTATTTACCTTTGCGTCGCTTGTCTGTTTCTTCCACTGATTCATAATGTATGACTTTTCCGCACTACCCATCACAGGGATTGAACTTGTGACACTCAGATAGCACAGCATTAATTCATATGCCTCTTGAATGGTGTGACAACAACCTACCTCTGTATATTGGATAAATTTTTCACTTCAAAATTTCGAGTTGAACAAGTAGGACCAACTCCTAAAGAAGGCCGGAGAATAGGGCGGGCGAAACTATGTGAATATAATAACTAAGATAAGCATACTAATTTCAATAAATCGATAATTATTTATTAGTTTGCTTTGTTACATGGCTGTGTATATGGAGATTTTGTTGGAATGAATTTGGTTCCTAGTTAAAGAATTGCTGTCTTCATTCCTTTCTTATTTGGTATTAATCAAAAAGTTATCGTTCTGTAAACTTGTCAGATCTATTTTAAGATATTCTTTTCTAAAATGACCTTGTGTTTTAATTGCAGGCACTTCCAGAAATCGTGTCAATGTAAGTGACGTGTTGATGGTGTATGATAATACGTCGTTCATCTACCTGAAGGAATCCCTCAATCGAGAAGTGTCCGACGAACTTAACTTCGCCGTCCACTGTACAGTACAAACGGCCAACGGTCTCAGGTCGACGCACAACCGTAAAATTCGATTGATAGTCGGAGACGTAGACGACAATCCACCCCTCTTTCAAACATTTCAACATTTTGAGAAGAACGTCGACCGGTTTACGGTAATAAAGAATTTTTTTAGCTTTTTTCACCACCCTCTTTTTTTCAGTGTTTATTCACATCACAGCAAGAATAATGATTTTTCAAGCATAGCACAAGGCCGAAAGTATGGGGCACCGAGTGAGGATCGAACTCACTACTCAATCATATCTACTCAAGCGAGTCAAGGTTGCTAACCATTACACCATTTCGTGATGCCCAATCACAGCAGGGATAGAAATGAGTACAAAAGAAGAATGAAGAGTTATACTTTTTTTTATAATTGAACTAATATCCTCATCTTCAGGAATGTTTACCTGGACAGACAAACACTCGAGGATGTTTCAAAGACACTAAATTACTAGAAAAAAATTCTCGTATTACTGTGTTTCGAGTTGGACCTGTGGAAATTCTACGTGTGATGACAACTAACATTGTCTATTATCTCATGCCACTGATCTTCTGTCAAACTTTACCTGTATCTTCCCATTCTATCCCTTATCCCTTCCAATACAACTAGGATTATCCTTCGTCTCATACCTATTCTCCTTTTTCATTCTTTACCTGTATCTTCCCATTCTATCCCTTTATCCCTTCCAATACAACTAGGATTATCCTTCGTCTCATACCTATTCTCCTTTCTCATTCTTTTTACCTGTATCTTCCCATTCTATCCCTTATCCCTTCCAATACAACTAGGATTATCCTTCGTCTCATACCTATTCTCCTTTCTCATTCTTTACCTGTATCTTCCCATTCTATCCCTTATCCCTTCCAATACAACTAGGATTATCCTTCGTCTCATACCTATTCTCCTTTCTCATTCTTTACCTGTATCTTCCCATTCTATCCCTTATCCCTTCCAATACAACTAGGATTATCCTTCGTCTCATACCTATTCTCCTTTCTCATTCTTTACCTGTATCTTCCCATTCTATCCTTTATCCCTTCTAATACAACCAGGATTATCCTTAATCCAATTTTCATTTCTCAACCTTTACCTGTATCTTCTCGTTCTATCCCTTATCCCGTCCAATTCAACCAGGATTATCCTTCATCCAATTTTCCTTTCACATTCTTTGTCTGTATCTTTTCACTCTTTTCTAATCTTCCTTTCCAGTCGCTGTCTCTTTTAAGCGAAATAAAAATGATACAGACAAACATTGCAATGACTGTATCATGTAGAATTTGGTTTGGTTTGGTTTGGTTTGTTTGTTTTACAGCATATCAACACCTTAATGGGTTATTTAATGCCAACAAAATTTTTATTCCTGGTAATATGTTTTTCTTCAGAAATCTATTTTTGGGAATATTTTTCCATGAAGAAATCTATAGCTGATAATATTTTTTTAAAGAATGTATAGCAGTTTGTATTGCTGGTACTTTTTTTTTAAGTATTGCTGATAATATTTTTCCTTTAAAATTATTGCTGGTAATATTTTTTTTATTATAAAGTATTTCTGATATTAAAACCTATTTTTCCACAATTTTGGGTGTCGACTCTAGCGGGGACCCTAAGAGGTGCTACCACCCTGGGTCAGGATGGACCTGGGAACGCCAGCAATTAAGAGGTAGTTCCACACTCCTCAAAATCTCCTGATCAGAGGCCTTGCTGCTGGACGTAGTTTATCGTTTTACAAAGGAGACGGATGTAGTTTATCCAGGACGGTATCATGTAGAAAGTGAATATTATAGACTTTACAAACGTGAATAGTGTACTAATAAAATATTATTTATATATGTATATATAGTTGGCCTAAAAGCTCGTTCGCTTGTTAAATAGAAGATTTAGTTAATAAATCGGACGAACTTTTCGGTCAACCCAGTATATATACTAAAATGGATCAGTAAGCTCGTATGATGATATGTAGTCATAGCTGAAATGTGATAGGGATATTCACCACTGAATTTACATTAACAAGAAAGGGGCTTACATTGAAAAGGAGATAACAGTGTGTTAAGTCTGCATAGGTCTTTGACTGTTATGCCAGCTTCATGCTTCCTACTGTATTATGGCAGAAAGAAGCATTTCCTTACTTATTAATTGGACTCTGTAAGTCCAATTAATAAGTAAGGAAATGTTTTCTTTCAACCATAATGAAAACATTAAAACTAAAAAGAAAAATATATCCGTTCAATATTTAATTTCATTAAATTTAGTGTAGGAGAAAAGGGAATTAAATTTAGTGTAGGAGAAAAGGGAATTAAATTTAGTATAGGAGAAAAGGGAATTAAATTTAGTGTAGGAGAAAAGGGAATTAAATTTAGTGTAGGAGAAAAGGGAATTAAATTTAGTATAGGAGAAAAGGGAATTAAATTTAGTGTAGGAGAAAAGGGAATTAAATTTAGTGTAGGAGAAAAGGGAATTCAATACAGAATAGGCTGCGCTTGAGGTAGTTTCGCCCAAAACCGCAAGTTGCTACACAACCAAAACATGGATCTGAAAACTTGAGTCATGTTCATAAATAGTCTCGTCAGATCAAGACTTTCATATGGGTGCCATGCATAGCGCCAAATCCGTTCAGAAATATCTAAACTGTTAGCTAAATTCAACCGTTATATAACATCAATAGTGAAAAACATCTTTGATCGAGTAATGTCTTGGCCATGATCCTCCTCGATCATTGCTAGAGAACCATAAACAAAGAATTGTACCAAATAACAGAAACCACATCACTTGAGGACTTTCAACAGCAGCAACAACTAAAATGCATAGCACATGTAACTAGACGAGAACATAATGTTTACATTCTACACCACTTCAAATAAAAAGGTTAGGAAGGAAACTCCCTTCATTACTGGAAAGATCGATAACAGTTTCTGTACATGAGAAACCTATTTTCCTGAAAAATAAACTTTATATATTTCAACCGACAGCAATACTCGCTACTCGGCCAATGAATGTTTCCTTGTAGGAAAACGGATAATATTACCTCTACCATGAACGACTGATATTTTATTTGCATGTTTAGTTCAATTCTAAGAGATTAGAGGTAGGAATTGAGAGATGCATTCATCAGTGCTGGTATATTTTACGGGCGATTTTTCACTAAAACTTTCTCGTTGATCTATCGGCACTCGAAATTGTTTTGAAATTCGTGACACATGTAGGGAATGGAATTACTAATTGATATATTTTAGGTAGACTTAGTAAACATCAACCAATATCCGCTTCTAATATAACCTTTTAAGACGTAAGATTGTTCAATATTGATCTCCTTTTAGTTAATGAAAATCACTATCAATCAACAATCGGTAGTGGAATTTGAAAGCATAGAAACATGCAAATATTAAGACAAAAAAGCTCTAAGGGACAAAACAAGATCTACATGTACATGATTTTGCTGTAGTAGATATCGATCGTTCAATCGATATTATTATTCATCTAGATTGGGTGATTGGGTCTCAATAATTATTTTATTGTTCGTTTAGTTCTTATTCCTTTTTTCTGTTTGCAGTATAATTGCTGCAAATCAGTTACACGAACTGTCGGCTCGGTTTTTGAAAAATTGTAGCTAATCAATCTCAATATTAGCTCCGGTTTTTCCTTCCTTTTTTTCTCTTCCATTTCATATTTTTCTCTTTCCCGACATTTTCCATCATTTCTTTTTTTCTCCTTTTCTTTTTAGTTTTTCTTGTTTTAATTATCTTTGTTTCTCATTTTACTTCTTCTTTTATATTTCCTTCTCGCTTTATTTTCATACGTTTTGTTAGATTTCCTTTTCTTTTCTTTCTTTCTTTTCTTTTTTCTTTTCTTTTTTTTACTTAGTTTTTCTTTTTGTCTTTATTTTCTTTCCATCATTTTCTTTTTTTTCTTTCCTTTTCATTTTTGTCTTCTTTTAATTTCTTTTTCTCTTTGATCAGGCTTTTATTTTTTTATTTTTTTATTTTTTTTTCCTTAAAGCCACGAAGAAAAACTAAAAGTAGTTTTTTCTTCATGGCTTTATTTCCTTTTCATCTTTTTTTTTCTATTTTCCTATTTCTTTCTTTCTTTTTTCTTTTTCTTTCTTTTCTTTCTTTCTTTCTTTTTTTTCTTTCTTTCTTTCTTTCTTTCTTTCTTTCTTTCTTTCTTATTGATGTCATGTCCGAGTCTTTTCTAAGTTTTCTTTGATTTCTCTGCTCTATCGTTCTTCTGATTTTTCGCTAGTAAAATATTCTATGAAATATTTTCAATTTTTTTCATGAAATAATTATTACTTCCTCTGGAGCAATGCTTTTTCCATTGTAGCATTTCAATCTAAATACGACTTATGACTTATTCAATGAATGATGCATTACCTTAGGGTTTGATTCAAAAGTCCCGCGCTAAACTAAAAAAAAGATAGTTTCTGTTTTACCTGGAGCATGCGAACACTGACACGTGTGTTCTCTCTCTTTATTCCTTTCTTTTCCGCTTTCTCGGTCGCTCACATGCATGCATATGAATATGCAAGCATGCATATACACACATATATAATTCACACATATAATTGTTCAGGTATATATACTGAAGACAAGTAAGTTTCAGTTCGGGTTTGTATTATGTTATTATTTGACAATTTCAAATATGCAATCTCATGACATATATCTACGTGTCATATCTCTTCCAACTGTTACATGCACATACGGACAGAAACACATGCACATACGAAAACATATATGTGAGTGAGAGCAAGAAACACATTTATATACATGTAATAGAGTCCTGACAAGCTAGGTATATTGGTATCGCATACATAATGGATCAAGTTCTGTTATGTGTAAACGTAAATTACTACGTATCTGTCCTCTCCTCTTCCACCTCTTTCTCTCTCATATATATATATATATATATATATATATATATATATATATATATATATATATATACTTACACGCACATACACACACACACGCACACACACACATATATATATATATATATATATAGGTAGCATATCTACATTAAAAATGTTTGGTTCAATAATCTAGACACATTATGTTCTATTTATTTTAATTTTAATACTCTCAAATTTTAACGGATCAATTTCTCAGTGTTGTTACAAAACTGATTAAAAAAGACGCCGCAGTTTTGGTTATTTCTTTTATTTTCCCAAGTACTTTCATCTCATCCACGTTCATCTTCAGGGCTGAATTGCTAAAACAAAAATATTGATGTAATTGTGCGTTGGGATTTTTTCGTTATGGTCAATTTAAAAATTAATGTTGAGAATATTTAAGGGAGGTAACTTAATTTATATGCTTTATTATAAATGATTTTAAATATTCAAACTGCAATTAAAAAAAAAACAAGTACAATAAAGGTATTTGAGCATCCCAAAACATTGCTTTCATAGACATTTTACAACAGTTTTTTCCGCATTTCCAAAAAAAAAAAAAATAAAATAAATAAATAAAATAAAATAAAAATAAAATGAAATGAAAAAAAAAACGCAACTTTTGTTGTCTTAGAAATTCACCTCTGAAGATAATCTTGGATTAAATTGAAACTACTTGGGAAAATAAAAAAATATCCTAAACTAAGGTGTCTTTCTTGATTAGTTTTGTAACAGCACTAAGAAATTGATCGGTGAATTTGAGAGGATTAAATAAAGTAGACTAATAATATATATATATATATATATATATATATATATATATATATATTAGTATATTTTAATACTAATATATATTTTATATTTTAATAATAATATATATTTTATATATATATATATATATATATATATATATATATATATATATATATATTAGTATATTTTCAATCCTGACCTTATGCCCCACTTTTTAACTTCCAAAAGAGTTAACCATTAGTTTTTAAATTTCCCTAATAAATCATTTTTTAACACAAGTGACCAACCATCACATGAGGAAGTACAATCATAGTAGTGAAACTTGAAAACTTTTGTGCAGCGATGTAAAATGTTTTTATTATAATCTCTTCTAATAAAAAATATTAAAATATTATACATACATACATACATACATACATATGTATATATATATATATATATATATATATATATACACGTTTTTAGGTGCACGCTTAGGCGATCATTTCTTTTTTTCGATTCACATTTGATTTGTCAGATGAATTCCCGCAGTAGGCTGCCGTTACTTTCTGTTGGAGACTGATTGCCAGCTAAGACCATAGCTGCTAATCTCTCCTGCTATTTAACCAATAGCTGGAAGTAAGAGATGGAACCGCACCTTTCCTAAGGTTATTTGCGCGTAAGTCAGTGTAAGGTACTCGACTAAAATTCGAACTTGGTTTTCCGATTTCTCATTTTGCAGTATTGTCCTTTGAACCACCCGCACATCTGAACCTACAGTCCCTGGAATTCCCAAGTAGTCACCCATTCTTGGTTCTACCAATCCAGTCCTTCACAGCTAAAACCAGCCATGATACGTGCAATAATTATATCTATCTATCTATCTATCTATCTATCTATATATATATATATATATATATCGTATTTATACAGCATCTTCGCCTGTTAGAAAATTATATCAGATTATTCTTAAATACAATGCTACTCGTCGTACTTCGATGAATTAAGTTGTCATTATGGGAAACACCAATTAAATGTATATATATATATATATATATATATATATATATATATATATATATATATATATATATTACAAGAAATGGATTAAGTCCGACGAATATTTAAATATATATTTGTGTTTATAGGTTATTTTTATGGATGCAACTTATTTGTGTAAATACTGTTTTAATTACACAGTATTAATTACATTTACAGGTCTGAATGTTCTAGAAATTTCGTAGAATTTATGTGTTCTCCGTCAGGAAACGAACCTGCATCGTATACGGAAACCGTCATAAACCTGACGTTCTGCTAACCATCCAGCCACAGAGAACTTTCCGGTTAGTAAAGTAAAAATGACTGCTTAGAAACACACATCTTCGATGATCGTTCTCGATGTAAATTTTCTGCTCGGAAACGTAACTTAATGCAAACAATGACAACATATTAGATGAAATGGATTAAATCCGACAAATATTTTAATATATTTTCTGTTTATACATTATTTTTATGGATACAACTATATAATGTATAAACAGAAAAATATATTGAAATATAATGTTGCCAAAATACACAAAAAGTTATAGACAGACAAAGGGGTATGAAGTAAATGTCACTCTTCTGGTTAGTAATTATAATATTCCTTCTTAATTGATGATTAGATGCTGTACCTGTAATTGTCCAGAAAAAAAAGGATTGTCTCGTTTGGCAGTAATGGGCAGTGCACGATGATAAAGTCAAGATACTGGGGTACGATATTAAGAAGCAAACAGTTGTGTTGTTTCATTGAAGCTGATCTAACGTTATCAGCGGCTTGCATCTTTTTAGTGTAATTAAGTCCAGCATCTATAGCTAGACGCCCCCGTCCCTAGTTACGTGATGGGCATAGATGTCGATAGGCATGAAGAAGGGGTAGAGAAAGATTAATCAATTGGGTGAGTGAGTAGACAGAAAGGTAAGCAGTGCGTTCAGTGCGGGCTTTTTGTACCTGATATACCTGTTCTAAGTTGGGGGTCTGGCTTCTTTGCTCAACACACAGCGGGATTAAGGGTGGCATGAAGTATAATGCCATAAACAAGTCATTAAAAATACACATACAACCACAAACAGACGCATAATCACATATAAACACAAACACGTCCATGTATGATTACACATACACAACTTTGTATGATTACACACAAATACACACATATATATATATATATATATATATATATATATATATATATATATATATATATATATATATATATAATATGTTGATACAATAGTTGTCTCTGAAAATGTATTACCCTATCGCCCTTATAAAAAAAAAAGATTGGTTTTATCTATATCCATAGAGACTAATATTACGAATATATATATATTATAAATATATATATATAAATTTGAAAATTAGTTATTCTGAAAAAATTCGCCTTAAAAAAAAGGATGAAACATAGAACTAGGTACTTAAATTTAAATTTCAAAATTAGAATTGAAACAGAAAGGTACTTTAATTTAATTTGTTTTTGAAGAAGTTTTAGCTTCTGTTTTTGCATGGTAATTCCTATGTAGCGATGGAATCATATTTTTAAAAAAAATAATATATATATATATATATATATATATATATATATATATATATATATATATATATATTAGGGAAATTCTATGACAAAGTGGAAAAAGATTACTTGTGACGCGTTTCGTTCTTCGGAACTTCATCAGACTAAATTTGTTATGTTGGTAGTATTACATATGCTCACGACAAAGGGGTGCTGGGAATTTTAGATTTTTTTTATCTAGTCGAATTCATTTAGCGTCTTCTTTTCCTTTCTATCACTTTTGTAAGTAGGTTTTCTACACTATGATAATAGAAGATCTGCCAGGAATGGTGAAATGTTTTATGAGACAGGGCGAAAATTTACTGTAGATAACCTTGCGATTATATCTCTAGATATTTACGCCATGGTGAATTATTTCCTCAAATAATTGAAATAATTACATGCAATGAAATGTGTTGTTACTAGTGTGAAATGTAATTTTTACATATCCATGTACATAATATTAGACAGATATTAGTTGATAACACAATTACTCTCACGCATATATGCAATAAAAAAGAACCTGCAGATAATGGAGGCTATCGACCTAAAAACAAAGTAAACCACACGCAATAAAATTACATTTCAAACTAGTTACATCTAGACATATGGTTCTGTCGTTAATATTTCCTTCTGTCACGTGGTACGACGTCATAGAATCGCATCATGAATTTATGACCTGCGTCTGCTATTCCGCGACCGCTATCGTCGTATAGCAATCTTCTGTGTCAGCATAACAGAATATCATTTTTGATGGTGAATATCTTTGCTTAAGTGTCCATATAAGCACTCTGAAGATGGCTTATGTAAGCCGAAAGCTTAGATCAAGTAACAGCATAATAAAAATATCCAAATGTTGGACAATCTTTGTCTTTATTTTCTCCAGAAATTAAAGCAAATATACGGAATTTATAACGGCTCATGATCAAACATAATAGACATTCGTTGTCTGTTATATTTAACAATACATGTTTGAATAATGGTCTGCTGCCCCAATATATATATATATATATATATATATATATATATATATATATATATATATATATATATATATATATGTTATTAATTATTATTGTTAATATATATATATATATTATTATTGTTAATATATATATATATATATATATATATATATATGTGTGTGTGAAAAGTGTATATAAATATAAATAGATATATATATGTATAATTATTTATATATTATATGCGCGGTACTTATTAGAAAGCGCTCAATATCAGAGATAGAGTTAACATATTTGTTTGGATTCACATCTATCCAACCAAATATATATATATATATATATATATATATATATATATTAATTGGTTTCTGCCGAAGTAAGGTAGTACAGCCGTTAAGACGAAAGAGGTTACAGGAATTAGGAACAGAAACATCAGTAATGTGTAGAAAGTGAAAAGAACAATCAGATGGACAGTAGATAGCGATTGACATTGCATTTAAATTTTTGCATTTGCTTGGAAAGCATGTAACTGGAATGGAGTTCCATAAGCGAATAGTGCAAGAAAAGAAACTGTTAGCATGGAACTTATGGTTATATCTAGTTTTCTCAACTGTATATTGATGAGATCTCGTGGCGGGTCTAACATTGCGTTTAAGTTGATAAAGTCTAGGAACCATAACGAAGCGTTAATCTGAACAATAATGTGTGTGTGTTTGTGTGTATACATGTGTATACGTGTGGTGCTCAAAAATGTCGGCCCGACAAACAAATGGGCGCAAAATAGATTTTGGCGTTTGATTATTTTGTAAGATCTTAAGAAGTGGGTCTTGTCAAAACTGAGTACAGCGGTAAGTGTTTTCTCCTGCTATTTCTTAGACAAATTGGAATTTTATCAGGGTGGAGTTTACCCAAATGCTCGCTCACTTTCTTGACCATGCATAGTGACAACCCAGTGACAAGAGATTTTGTCATAAGAAGTCAGGGCACAGGTAAACAGAATGCATGTCTTTTCTAAAGTTCAAATTAGCTAATTAGGCGTGATAAACTTTATAGTGCTTTATGACCCACAGATTATTAAAGATTTTTTGAAAATGTTAAACCCATTATAAATGCCTTTAGCAATGACGAAAGTGATTGTGTTTTCCAGTGTGAGTTGGATATAGAATTCACTTTCTGACACAAGTATAAATTCTATTCGTGTCTACCATTTGACTCTCATATTAACCGGGCCTGTGCCCAACTTTCTTACTGCGATGTAGCGTCTACCTTTTTGACTATTCCTTGTAATTTTTTATCATTGTTACATATTCAACCTTAAGTAACTCAACAAGGAGTGAAATATTATTAATTCCACGAGCCTGATCTCTCTCTCTCTATATCTATATATATATATATATATATATATATATATAGTGTGTTTGTATCTGTGAGCCAGCTGATATATTAATACCAAGTGTCCTATTGCGACTCGATTCCAATATAAGTCTAGTAACTATATATATATATATATATGTGTGTCTGTGTGTGTGTGTGCGTGTGTGCGTTGTGATAGAATTAAGATCCCTCCATAGCGGGAGTCTAACTAATTCTCGTATCTCCACGATACAATTACCACAATGAGATTTAAGTAAACGTATTTTGTCTAGATTACGTCCACCTGGTACGAAGCTATTCAAAGTAAAGTCAATTTAATGGCACTATTCTACTATTGTGTTTAACAATTTGAATAGGGAGTGGACCTGAAAAGGGCCGTTTTTTGCGTTCTCAATCTTACAAGGGAGGAACCTCTTCCATGGACCGTCATAATAATAATATACGATAATTTTTATTTATAATATATTTTTTTTTATAATTCTAATAATCTTTTGCGTTAGATTTCAACTCTTTAAATTGATTCTACGCTGTTTTTTACAGACATCAAATTTTGCCTTTGATTTTTGCGCAAAGTGTAAAAAATCTTTTTTTCGATTTTTCACCTTCAAGGTTGTAATTTTTTCCAGTCAATTTGGACTCAAAACCGGCGCTGAAGAATTATCTATGAAACAAAAACAAATTCATCGAAATCGGATGAGAACTGTAGAAGAAACGCATAAACAACAACCGATCACACACACACATACATACACACACATTTTGAAAATTATATATATATATATATATATATATATATATATATATGCACATCTCATTGAATACGGCAGGCAAGGTGCTTTTATTTAGTTTTGTACAATTTCTCATGCGATCTAATAATTTTTTTTTTTTCATGTATGTATATATATATATATATATATATATATATATATATATATATATATATATATATATATATATGTGTGTGTGTGTGTGTGTGTGTGTGTGTGTGCGTATC